TGCGTTTTTGTGTTACCTGGCCCACCTCCAGATACTCCTGGTTGAAAAACATGGGCCGAGGGAGCCAGAAAGGGAATCAAGGAGCAAGATGTTTATGGGCCCATTTGGTGTCACTGAAGGCAGAAACATTTTCTAGTCCATTTTATCACAGAAAAGGAAAGAAACTTCAGACGGACCACAAAGTTGGTTGGAAAAGCCCTTAAAATTCTTTACCTCTTTTTGCCCTCATTCTACATTCATCAAACCACTTTCCCAAGGGTTTTAATACCAAAAAGGGAGCATATCCTCCCATTAGAGAGGAATCATCTCCATTGAAAATCATCTATTTGTCTGTCTATCTATCTATCTCTGTGTGCATTTGGCTTCCTGTAACTTGAGGAACTTGAATCACTCTCCCTGAGTCTAAGTCTTAGACAATGAAAAAACTAAGGGCCAGACTCTGGATTAAGGTAAATTCACCTCAATCAAGGATGATAGATAGATTTTAATCTATATGCTAACTGACTGGGCTGGCACCATGATCTTGGACTTCCAGACTCTAGAACTGTAAGAGAAATTTCTGCTGTTTATGAGCAACCCCGTCTATGGGGATCTGTACAGCAACCTGAACAGACCAAGATGAACACAAAATATTAACATATCAGAAGCAATTTGTTCATAAACTCCTGCAATTTGGCCAGTATTATCACTTTGATATTTCAGCACAAGTTCACTACCTACCTCGTCAGAAGCAGAAGACAGTTACAGAGAAGCAGAGACAAGACAGGAGGAAACAGCTGAGCCTTGCAACTGGGTGAGCTCTTACATTCCTTTATCTCAAGCTTTTCTAACAAGAGATGAGAATGATGTGCTGAAAGTAACTTTTAGTAAATCTCAATATAGGAAAAATAGTTTTATCACCCCTGCCTTCAAATTTGAATTATAGCCAGTTTTGAATTTCTCCTCATCCTGAGCCTCCCTTCCTTTGGTGAAAGTGCTAAGAAAAGTAAAATGGTCAAGGCATGAGGCCTGGGGTGGGGCAGTGGAGGTGGCAGGAGGTGGGGGTGGGTAGGAGAGAAATGTGAGATCAACTTACAATGCTGAGAGCTGGCTACTTCTTGCAAGAGTTAAATGCCCGTCAGTAATTGTAGCCCAGTAAGAATTCGTACTTCCACATGTATTTCTTTATGAAGTATAGCTCAGAGAAGATAAAGGTCTCCTTCAAAGCTGTCTACTGGGCTTCCCTGGTGGCGCAGTGGTTAAGAATCCGCCTGCCAATGCAGGGGACATGGGTTCGAGCCCTGGTCTGGGAAGAGCCCACATGCCGCGGAGCAACTAAGCCCATGCGCCACAACTACTGAGCCGTGCTCCGCAATGAGAAGCCACCTCAACGAGAAGCCTGTGCACCGCAACAAAGAGTAGCCCCCGCTCGCCGCAACTAGAGAAAGCCTGCACACAGCAACGAAGACCCAACATAGCCAAAAATAAATTAATTTAAAAAGCTGTCTATTAACAGATGACTGTTTCTAGTCAAAAGATCTCTAATATATAGCAACTATCTGATCATTCCTCACAATCACTGATTACACACAAAGAGCAACGGCAGCGCCTCCTGGCCCTGGGATCCTACTCCAAAATGGACATCTGCCAGCCTTATTCAGAACAAATGTTCAGTTAGCTAGCTTATATCTGCTTTAATTCCCTTACTATTTCCTTAGACACAATGGAGTTTAATTATTGTGTTCAAAAATACTGAGAGCTGGTGATTTTCTAATGTAAATTATGGAATTAGTCCAGGTTTAATATGCTAATGCCCATCGTGATGTTTTTAAACCTGTCAGTAATCACCTAGACAAATTTAGTTCAACATGTTCTTAATTCTAGTTACAAACAAAATATTGGGTATACCTCAGATCACAGTTTTGCAACCTTGGCACAATTAACATTTGGGGCCAGATAATTCTTTGTCATGGGGTCTGTTCTGTGCCTCGTAGGAAGTTTAGCAGTACCCCTGGCCTCTATCCACTATGTTCCAACAACACCCCTGTAGCCGTGACAACCAAACATATCTCTAGACATTGCCAAATTCCCTAAGGGACAAAACCATCCCGGGTGAGAATCAATGCTCTGGATAAATGACAGACGCCTCAGAGAGAATGTCTTTAGATGATTCTAACACAGCAAAACTTCCCCACTTCCCCGTAGGTTTGAATCCCAGATCTGCTACTTCCTCCCTGTATGATCTTGAGTGAATTTACCTACTCAAGCTGTGCCTTTGTTTTCTCCTCTGGAAAATGGGAATTAAAATAGTACCTACACCTCAAGAGGCGTAAATAAAATGATCCACTTAGCAAATAGCAAGCACTCAGTAACTGCGGGCTGCCGTTATTGCTATTGTTAATATTTTCATCCCAATTTCAGCTTTTCGAGGTCCTCACTCTGCAATCAGTGAGCTAGGGCTCTTAGGATATTCAGCTGGAATTAAGATTCTGACTGAGGGACAGTTGCTCTTTTGAACAAGCAATATGATGCAGGTGGTAAAACATGGATTTTGGAGAAAACTGGGATTCTAATTCTCATTTCCTTGGGATTTTCAAATCTCACACTTCCCACCTTCACGAACATTATCCTCAAAATAGGGCTGGTAGTAACATCATCAACACCGTGTGTGAAAATTAATGACGAAACCTATATCTTTAAAACTGCTCTGAAAATTACTGCAACGTGGAGCTGGTGGCCCATGAAACTGCTGCTCCCAGGGCCTCCCCTAGGGAGTGTAATTAACCAAGGTCCCCAGCTTCTGTGCTTTGAAATCCAACACCTCATTTGCACCAAAGACCTTGCCTCCACCTGGCTGCTCCCCACCAATGACTGCATTGGAGGGAGGATACTAAGGTAGGCCCGTTCCTGGGAGACACAGCCCTCTTCTGTCCTCGGCTCTAGTGAGAATGAAATAAGATAAGCAGTGAACAGAGTGCCTGACACATACGCTGCACTACACAGTGCATGGCCCTATAGTTAAAAACACCAGCCCAACTCCATAGGTTAATTCCTCACTTTTGTTCTTAGAGATCCCAAGAAAGAAAAAGCGTATTTGGATTTAATAGTATCACCTTATGGTTTGTGATACTGTTGCCAGACACCATCCCACAAATCTACACATTTATACATTTTATGTGAATATGTGTTTGATTTTACGTTTTGATGGATTAAAATACATACATGTTTAAACCAAAGAGAACGCAACCCAAAGGACAAAAAAAACAATTTGGATTTGCTGGCACTGTTTTTCCTCTAGTACAGAGACTCAAGTTCTTTGATATAGTAAATGCATAGGCAGTCCCCACTTTATACATGAGATGCCTCCTTGAGAGACTGTGTGTGAAGTAAAAAGTGGAATATACTCTAACTGGTATTGTTTAGTTACTGCTACTTAACATACCATCCCAGAACTCACCCGCTTCAAATGACAACCAGTTATTCTTGCTCACACATTTGCGGGGCGTGCTAGGCTGGCTTCAGGGGGCTGACTTGGCTAGGGTGACTGCTCCAATGTGACCCGCATTCTCCTCCTGAGGCCAGCAGGTGAGTCTGGGAACGGTCTCCTCACAGCGATGGCAGAACACAAGAAGGCAGATGGAAAGACACAGACCCTGTAGGACTCAGGCTCTACGGACACATTGCCACTTCTGCTTTGTTTTATTGGTCAAAGCAAGTCATATCACTGAACTACAAATCGAAGGTGGGGAAAGTTCCCCTGCCCACAGTGAGACACAGCAAGGGCACTGATGCAGGGAGGGGTGAAGAACCAGGGCCACAGTTTCAGTCTCCTGCAGACCCTGACAAATTACTTAAATAGGGATGTTTCCATAGAAAATTCCAGGGCCTCAATTAATATTAAGCATAAAAAGGCAGAGGTGCTAATACATGTCTGGAATATACAGAAAAGTAAAGAGAATAATATAACAAATGCCCATGTATTGACCTTCAATAATTAATAAATTAACATTTTAACATATTTGCTTCTGATCTTTTTCTTTTTTATAAAGGATTTTAGAGTTTAAGCACTTTGCATATCCTTTCACAATTCTATTTCTCTCCCTCCTCAGAGGTAGCTATTATCCTAGGGTAAGTTTGTGCATGTTTTTGTATTTTTACTATACATGCAGCTATTCACAAAGATAATACACTTGCTTTCAAAATTTAATAAGTGGTTAAATTTAATTCTGTGTATAACATTTTAAAAGTAGCTTTTTTATTCAAAAGTGTTCAACAGTAGATCTAGCTGTTTTAATTCATTTGAACTGTTAAATTATATTCCAAATGTTATTATTATACTCCATTGTATGACTGTATCCTAAGTCATCTTTTCCTCTACTTATGGATACGTTGGATGTTGTTAATTTTGTAACATTGTTACAAACAAGCAAACATTTAAAATCGTATATTTAAAGGAAAAAAATATAATTTTATCAAAATAGTAAAATTATTTGCAAACATTGCACAGGTGAAACTGAACCGATGATCCAAAAAAACCCAAGGGATATATACTAAAGAATATGTTATAGAGGGTCATACATTACTAATCGTCTTTTCTGAAACATGTCCTACCCAGGAAATGAAAGGTATGTCTTCTAGAAGACAGTACTAAGCATTCAATTTTTCACGGGATATTCTCCCACCAGTCACAGCCCAGGAAAGAGTCACTCTTCATCCAGCCTTATCACTTTCTGTTAATATTTAGTCAGCATTTCCAATAAAGTTAGCTTCCGCAGAACAAAAGCTTTTACATAGGTCCTACATGTGAGCCGAACAGCTATCCATGGAATATTAGAATCTGATTCCCCCCGTTCTCATATTTGTTTTGTGTGTCTCATAGCAAATTAAAGATATGAGAGATGCAGCATTCTAAGGCTAAATAGCTAGAAAATACTAAGTCAAACTTGAGTGTTCTTCAAAGAGAGCATAGGGGCAATCGTAAGTATCAGAGGAGGAAGCATCCTAAGGGAGACCAAAGCCAAATGTTTTCCACAGGAGTCCTCCTTCTGGCTGTTTTGATTTCACCTGGTAAGTCAAAATTACAATTTTACAATCTTGGCTGACTTTTGAAAACTGATTTCAAGGATAGATTTAAAAGTCATTAACATCATAATCACAACAGAAACTTGTCTATTTGGTTATTAAAAGTGGAACAGGAAGGATACACGGGGGAGAGGGGTGGTCCTCAATGATTTCCACCTGAATGTTCTGTTTCTTTAATGAGAGAAATACAAAAGTCTTTCCGTCTTAGTCTAGGACTTAATCGGAACAAAATTAGAAAATAAAAAGTTTGTATAAGAATCTGATTTATAAAACTCCTGATACAGAGACTAGTATGGATTAGGACAAGGGGAACTGCCACAGCACAAGAGAAAATGAATAAATTAATAAACTGTCTAATGTATGTCTCAATTCTGAAGGCTAAATATTAGTTGCCAAAGAGATTTGAAGCTTGGCTCCAAGGTATAAGACTTATGAAACCCACCTTTTAGAGGTATATTCAAGAATATGCTTGGGCTTCCCTGGTGGCGCAGTGGTTAAGAATCTGCCTGCCAATGCAGGGGACACGGGTTTGATCCCTGGTCCGGGAAGATCCCACATGCCGCAGAGCAGCTGAGCCCGTGTGCCACAACTGCTGAGGCCTGTGTGCCTGGAGCCCATGCTCCACAGCGAGAGGCCGCTGCAGTGAGAAGCCTGCTCACCGCAACCAAGAGTAGCCCCTGCTCGCCACAACTAGAGAAAGCCCGCGTGCAGCAATGAAGACCCAATGCAGCCAAAAATAAATAAATAAATAAATTTATTAAAAAAAAAAAAAGAATATGCTTAATGGCCATATTCTGTAGATTCTCTTCATAGCACATATACTAATGAATAGAAAAATATCTTTAAATAAAATCAACAACCAAATTAGCAGATTCTTGCTTTTGCTTGTTTTTGTTAGTCTGCCCTGAAGTAAAAAGACGAGTTTCTTAACGCATCTCTCTGTGAACGTTAACAATTGGAAATCCAGGAAATTTAATTCAAATGGACATTTATCAAGTGCCTACTCTATTAAAGAGAAGTTGCACTAAAAACAAAGTTTGCACAAAATACACAAAGAGAGCCAGTGCGCTCCTCCTTGTTTTACTGCTTCATAATTTTTTAAATAATTGTTTTACTCCCTTCCCACTCTCTCTTCTCACTCCACTCTAGGCTAAATTAGTTTGACATGTTCTTATTTCTAAGAATCTCCTCTTCTGTGTTTGCAGATATGAAAGAGATTTATTTCGTGTTAAATAAAGTTTGCTAGTGCAGAGTTTGTTTCTGCTTTAATTCAAACATTTCCTTGGATTTGATTACGAAGACTAGCAATAAAGAACATTTCAAAGTGACTAAAGTAACTGAAGAATTTCTAGAGTTATTTGTTTGAGCCATGCTGTTTATTTTGTTTAACCTAAACATAGTGGTCCCCATACCAAGTCATGAGCAAAAAAAATATTTGAAAAGTGCAATCTATACCATTGTTTAATGAATAATCTGAAACAAACTATAACTATAAAGGTAAATGCTTATAAAGAAACACACAAATACTCTACATGTCATAAAACAGACTTCCGTGACCAGGGGAAAAGCCCATGTTATAGCTGAATCAGGAGTTAAAGGAAGCCCACTCCTTAAACTACAGAAAAATTAGAGAGAAAGTATAGTGAAAACAGAATTTTTCAATCTACTGGGAGACACAAGGATAGTAGAGATTGGGAATATGTGGTCAGGAAATGTGCTTCTCCTGTTTCTCCTTTTTAGCACTGGCTGGGCCATGGGCTACTATATGTGCCGGCAAGTCTTCCAATGAGATCAGGACATGTGACAGCCACGGCTGTGGCCAGTACACGGCTCAAAGGTAACAGGGTTTCACACATAACCATATCCTCTTTTGGCTCGTAACCTCTTTGCTTAGCGTCCTTGCCCGAAGTTTCTTCAAGTGCTCACCATCTTCCCCCTTCCGACAGCAGGAAAATTCAGAGATATAACCAGTTACATTACCACGTTTGGAGCAACTTCCAAGAACAGGGCGTCAACTCTGGGCTCTGCATTAGGAACAGAGCATTGAACAAGGGCAAGAGAGAGGAGAGCACTGTTTTCTCTCAATGTTTTCACGCGTTGACTCACCTCACCTGGCTTTTCCAAGGTGGAAGCCAAACATTACTGTCCCATTTTATAGATGAGGAACTTGAACTGGGGCACCAGAGGGTTAAGGGACTTGCCAAACACAGCTGGAGGTGGTGAAGGCTGGACTAGAATTCAGGCTTTTGGATCCTCTTCCCATCAAACCATGGTGTTACTGACCCAGGCTCTGGGAGGTGAACACCAGAGGCTGGCCCTAAGCAGGTAATCTCTTCCAGACAGTGAGAGACACACGTGTGAACTTTCAACAGTGCACAGTACTACCTTGGGAGTGCCACTTTCTGATGAAATAGCCATGTGTCCAACTGTATCACTGATCTCCATCCTAATCACAGAACAACTCTCACTCACACAGATACTACTTACAAAGCAACCTCACATACCTGGAATAGGGCTGAGAGACAGGACATAGGGGAAAGTGGCCTCTGAATTGCCAAAATTAAGACTCAATTAGTTCATACCCTAAACTTTATGCACTTGACTCATACAATAACTTACTGGCTCCTCACCTGGAATCTGCTCAATGTTGCTTTACACATAATGCCAACAATCCTAGTGAATCTGACTTTCAGGTAGACTATTAGAAGGAAGAAGAGGCTGGTGGAGAACTGGCATAGTGTCAACAGTGAGGACTGTCGGAGACGACAAGAAATCTCACAACCTGGGATCATTTTGTGTTTGTGCTCCACACACTTTATAATAAATGCAGGAGGCATCACTCACTATATTAAAACCATACACAATAAATGATGTTTATAATGACTTATGGATCACTGGGAGAAAAATAAGACTAGGCTAACATATGATTCTTTTATAATAGGTTCCCATAAAAAGTCATCTCTTTTCTAAGTGGTCTTGCCGGGGTCAAGATTCAGGTATCTATAAAATTTACTTACATGGATTGCCTCATTTCCCCAAAATGCCATATAATAATAACGGCTAACATTATTAAAGGCTTCCTGTGTTTTACTATCTTAAATGTTTTAACCTTTATAACATCGTTATTACAACCTGCAGAGAAGGAGGTGAAAACTGGGTAAACAGAGTGAGGAAACCTGGGACATTCCAACACGTTCCAACAGCTTCAACTTTTGATACCCTGGTCTGGGAACAGTGGGCTAACACCATGTTCCTGGGCAATAAAATTCCCAGGGCAGTTCCTCAGTCTGTTCATTCTTATTTACATCCTGGAAATCACAGGCTTCACCGGGGTGTGGATGTCTTGTGCTCAGATGGATCTACTGTGTATGCACCTTTCACCGGAATGATTGTGGGCCAGGAGAAACCTTATAAAAACAAAAATGCCATCAATAATGGTGTTCGGATCTCTGGAAGAGGTAAGAGGTGGTGTATATACCTGGAGCACATACTGGAGATGTTTGATGCTTATTTATTTAATGCGTATTCGATACAAAGATGTTTCATTCTTCCTTCAAAGTGACAAAACCTAGGACCTAAAGGACAACGGTACCAAACTAAAGCAGCCCATGCATTTTCAAAGATGTTCCACCACTTTCCCTGAAGTCGTCTTCTTTATGCATACATGCCCCACCTAACTCTATAGTTGACTGAAGGGCTTTCTTCCTGAGGCCCATGTGGCTTTGCTTAACAATCTACAAGCAAAATCACTTTCAGCATTGCCGTATTAACTGTAATGAATAGACGCTTTCATTCACCAAAATCCCACAATTCGAAAATGTTGGCATCTCTGCAAGAGTTGATGTGAACTATTTTCAAATGCTCTATGTTCTAGGAAAAGCTGGGTCTCCTGGTGCTCCAGGTACTGGGCTTATTGTATGGTTGTTTTAATTCTATTGACGTAGAACATACACACAACAAAGCGCACAAAGCAAAAATGGCCAGCTCCATGAATTGTCACAAAGTAAGCGCATCTGTGTAGCCTGTTGGTTACACCAGATCAAGAAAAAGAATACCAGCAACAGTTCAAAGACCCCTTGTGCTACCTTTTAGTCATAACTCCCAGCAAGGGTGATTACTATCCCACCATATATTAGCTTTGCCTGTTTCTGAAAATGATTTAAATAGTATTAAACAGCATGCAGTCTTTTGAGTGGGGCTTCTTTTACTCCACATAAGGTTTATGAGATTCATTCATGTTTTTGCATGTAGTTTAAGTCCCTTCATCCTTATTGATGTAGAGCATTCCATTGTATGCATATATCTTCACCTATTTAATCATTCTTCTCTAAACGGACATCTGGGCAGTATCCAGTTTTAGGTGATTATGAAAATGCTGCTATGAACTTTCTGTACATTTCTTTTCATTAACATAAACATGCATTCCTGTTGGGAGTGGATCCGGAGGACACTCCTCTCACTAAGGCTGTGAGAAACACTTTGTGAGGGAGCCCACATCCTTGAGGAGCTATCTGGTGGCTATCTTCTCTAGGCCTGAAATGACAAGAGGAACTACTGCCATTGAATGGAGTCCACTTAGAAGCCAAGGCTGGCATGGTTATCCAACAGGGAGCAGAGCTGAAGCAGTAATCAGATACATCAGAAGCAGAGGCCTGTGCCACTGTCTAGTTAATCATGGTGACCTAGAACTGAATACATGGGCAGACTACTAAAGCCTTATTTGATTTGTATAAAGGGAAACACTCTAGGTCTGATGAACAAAATTCTGACTTCAATCATGACAATACTCGGTCTCAAAACCTTCCTCCCAACACCATCCACCAATTCCCAGACTTGAGCCAGTTCACAGTCCCAGACCCCTTGAATGAAAGGGAGGCTGAGTCCTTCTGAGGAAGGGCCCTATTACAATGCCAAAAATTTATACTGTAACCCTTACTTCTAGCCATCCCCAAAAGGACCTGCAGCCTTTTAGCAGGATGATTGTATACTGGGGAAGAAGAGACTCGCTCAAAACTGACAGTAATTCCTATAGACCCAAGCCACTGTAGTCCATCAATCAAACTAGGGGCTTCCAGGGTCAGGTGATCAACATAGTGTTTTCCGAGGGTCCATCTTACAGTTGACCTAGTGCATCCACATATCCACCCTGTGGTAATTCCGCCGGTTCCAGAATGCATAACTGGAATCAATATACTCAGCAACTGGCAGAACGCTGGAGGAGTGGAGTTGCTGGGTTACCTGGTATGTGTATCTGCAGTGCTAGCAGGTACTGCCACCCAGTTTCCCAAAGTAGTGGTACCAATTCACAGCCCCAACAGGAGTGTATGAAAGTTCCAGTTGCTCCATACACAATACTTGGTGTTATCTAGCTACCTTTCTCATTTCAGCCATTCTGATGAGTATGTAAAGGTGTCTCACTTAAATTTAATTTGCATTTCCATGATGGCTATGATATTGAGCCCCTTCTCATATTTATTGATAACATGGTTATTGTCTTTCGCAAAGTGCCTATTCATGTATTTTGCCCTGGCTTTTTTGCCTTTTTCTTATTGGTATGTGGGAGCTTTTTGTGTCTTTTGGATATGAGTCCTTTGCCCAATATATGTATTTTAAGTATCTTCTCCCACTTTATGGGTTCCTTTTCACTTTTCTAATGTTTTTTAATAAACAAAAATTCTTATTTTTAATGCAGTCCAATTTAGTAATATTTTCCTTTACTGTTGACACATTTTTATTACCCATTTAAGACACATTTGCCCACCCTAGTCATAAAGGTATTGTCCCTATGTTTCTGTGTACAAGCTTTATTGCTTCATCATTCATACTTAGATTTATAATCCATCTGGAATTGGTTTTTGTTGTAAGGAAGGAGACGGGGATCAAACTTTCCCCCCATATCGACATCTGACTCAGTACCATTAACTTGCCAAGACCATTTTTTCCTTACCGCACGGCAGTATCTCTTGTCATAGATCAGGGTCTGAATATACATAGGTCTGTTTATGGTCCTTCTATCGTGTTTCACTGGCCAGTTTGTCAATCTTCCACAAATACTGCACTGTCTTAATTACCATAACTTTAAAATACATCTTGATATAAATAGTATAAATCTTCCAACTCTGATCTTCTTTCAGATTGTCTTGGCAATTCTTGGGTTATCTGCATTACCAAATAAATTACAGAATCAGTTTGTCAATCTCCACCAAAAATCTTGCTGGGACCTTGGGTTTGCATTCATCATACAGGATCAAACTGAGAAGAAGTGATATCTTAAAAGTAATGAAAGTCATCCCATCAATGAACTTGTTAAATCTTCCATTTATTTAGGTCTTCTTACACTGTTGTATTAGTAGCTTAATTAGAGTTATATTAGTATCAATGTAGAGGTCTTGCACATATTTTTGTTTAATATATGTACATAAAATGCACCTTATTCATTTTCCATAGATCTTCTATAGCAGTACCGTCCAACAGAAGTATAATAAAAGCCACATACGCAATCTTAACTTTTCAGTAATCATATTAAGTAAAAAGAAACAGTGAAATTAATATTAACAACATATTTAACTTAATACCTCCAAATTATTATTTCAAAATGCAATTAATATAAAAATTAGTAATATTTTACTTTTGGGGGAGTACTGTCTTCAAAATCCAGCGTGTGTCTTATACTTGAAGCACATCTAATTCAGATTAGCTACTTCAAGCACTGATTGGCCACATGTGGGTAACAGCTACTGTGTTGGACAGGACAATTCCATAGCCTTACTTATGTTTTCTGTCCACTTGACCTGTTTTCACCGATGCAAGTGTGTTGAAGTCTTCTGTCACTACTGGGTTTCTATCTATATATCCTTGTACCTCCTGTATTCTCTCCTTTGTGTTATTTACTGCATGGATAATTATATCTTCATTGGATTTAGCATTACACATTGTCCTCCTTTGTCTTGTTTCAATGCTTTTTGGCCTGAATTTCACTCTCTGGTAACAGGATCATAATCCTTGCTTTCCTTTTTCCTTCCATTTACGTGGCAAATCTTTTTCAGTCCTGAATTTTTAGCCTTTTTCAATTACTGTTTTATTGTATACAGCACAGAATTGCATTTTGCTTTCCAAGCCAATAGGAAAATCTTTTTACTATATGAATTAACATTTATAGATACAACTCATATATTTGGTCCAAACACTGTCATTATTTTATGTTGTAATTATGGTATTATAATGGTATTATCTCTATTTGATGGGTCTTATTTTAAATTTTTCTTTTGATATTTAAAAAGATTTGTATTCTTGTGCCTGTTATTTCCATTTTTCTTTGTCTTTAAAGCCTAATAGTTTTATTGGAATCTGTCTTGGAGTTGACATCGTTCTGGGTCAATTTTCTCAGTTACCTGGTGTTTTTCTGCTATTCTTCAATGCCTTTTAAAATACTCATTTGAGTCTACTCTTCCTTAGGCATCTTGTAATTTTAATCTTCATTTCTGATATGATTCTGTCATTTCCTTCTACTCCCTCATTGAGTTTAATCAACCTTTTCTTTTTGTATTTTTTTATTCATTTCTGGTTTTTTTTCTTACAATTTCTGATTCAAGACTACTAAAACCCAGATAATGAATAATTCTACTTCTTTTCTTTTAGGTTTCTGTATTAAAATGTTCTACATTAAGCCAATTAAATATAAAGGTTCTATCAAGAAGGGAGAAAAACTGGGCACTCTATTGCCCTTGCAGAAACTTTATCCTGGCATACAATCTCATGTACACATTGAAAACTGTGACTTGAGTGATCCTACTGTGTACCTATAAATGGAAGACAAATAACCAGATCTTCTAAAGAGAGAGCCATCTTCTTAAAACCTGGGTGCATATTCTGCTTTTCAAGAAAACTGTGTTCAAATAGAAACATGATGAATGCAAGAAAGAAAAAAGCATGTTGGTTTCAACTCATTGCCACTTTGATGTTTTGAGGGTCAATTAATCTCTCAGGTCTGATCTGTAATCTATGGGATCTGGGGTGTGTTTTTCCTTAAAGATTTCTCAGTCCTGAATACATAAGATAAATAAACATGAATTCAAACTGGTCCCACTAGCTTTCTGCTTGAAAATAAGAAAAAGCCTGAAGTGTTTTTAGGGTACAAGAATAGAGTGTTGTACAATGCTAGACACATAAACCTGATAAATATTAGGTGGATAAACTGGAGGCTTCTTTTGAGTTAAGGTAGTAAAGAATTTCAGCAATAGCCTTAGGTTTGTCAAAGTGCTTGGAGGGTGAGGGGTTTACACGGATAAGACAGAGTTTGCTGGTCTTTATATCCACACATTCCTGTGCTCTATCTAAGCAGTTGATCTTCCAGGTAATGAATGACAGCAGTCCAAGGTAATATGGAACATTCTAGATTTCAGAAAGATTGCATTACAGGGAGTACTAGAAAGAGAAAGAGGGCTATCCTAACCTGAAGTATCTCATGAAACCAAGTCAGTCAACCTCATCTAGCCATACGCCTATCATAGCTACTGATTCTTACACATCATCGTATATCCTTATTATTCTTTCCTGGTTATGCTGACAACAGGTACAAAGGGGAAATAAAACCATATGAATGTTCAAAGGATGAGAAATAATATGGCTCTGTAGATTTTAGGCAGTCAGTAAGAAATGAGTAAGGTGAATTCATCATTCTGGAAACTTTCTTCATGAATTTTTGCTTAAACTCTTTGGAATGTAGAAAACTCCAGTAGAATGACTCCATTCCTAGTGTAGATATGCTATAGGAAATGCAGTCAATTGAACATTTTTTACTGGAGGGAAGTGGCTGCATTTGTATACAAGGACGTAATGTATAAGAATGTTCATGAATCACTATTTGTCATAGCAAAACCTGGAACAACTCCAACGCTCACCAATAGGAAGATGGACAAATTGTGGTTTAGTTATAGATGGAATATTATACTGCAGTGAACCTCAGCTAAACATAACAAAATAGATGAATCATAGCAATATAATTCTGAGTAAAAAAAAAGCCCAAAGGATCACATATAGCATGATACTCTTTTTATAAAGTCAAAACAATTAAAGCCAAAACATAATTTTTAGGAACACATATACATATGTGATAAAAACATACAAAAAGGAAATCAAGCAAATAATGAACACTAGTTATCTCAGGACTGGATAGGGAATGACCACACAGAAAAATTTAAGTTACTATCAATGCTGTAGTTTTATGGTTGGGAGGTGATTTCATGAGTATTTACTATTATGAAGAAGATGTTATGGAGGCAACAGGACTTACAGGTGGGTCTCCAGGAAGAAGAAAGAGTCAGTGACGGCTCTCAAGACAGTATAGAGTCTATACAACACAATTAGTACTTTCTCATATCCAGTTAGATACTATTCTCTACTATGTCATAACATCTTATACAAGGCTAGCAAATTAAGACTTTAATTTTTGGTTAAAAAGAAGAAAACTAGGGCTTCCCTGGTGGCGCAGTGGTTGAGAGTCCGCCTGCCGATGCAGGGGACGCGGGTTCGTGCCCCGTTTCGGGAGGATCCCACATGCCGCGGAGCGGCTGGGCCCGTGAGCCATGGCCGCTGAGCCTGCGCGTCTGGAGCCTGTGCTCCGCAAATGGGAGAGGCCACAACAGTGAGAGGGCCGCATGGCGCAAGAAAAAAAAAAAAAAAAAAGAAGAAGAAAACTAGGGCTTCCCTGGTGGCGCAGTGGTTGAGAGTCCGCCTGCCGATGCAGGGGACGCGGGTTCATGCCCCAGTCCGGGAAGATCCCACATGCTGTGGAGCAGCTGGGCCCGTGAACCATGGCTGCTGAGCCTGCGCGTCCGGAGCCTGTGCTCCGCAACAGGAGAGGCCACAACAGGGAGAGGCCCGTGTACCGCAAAAAAAAAGAAAAGAAAACTATAACACCAGCACTGTCTGGTTTGATCATCTACCTTACTCATCTCCTTAGTGCCAAATAACTTTAGATTGTTTCCAAAGATTATATTTGTTTTCAACGGACAAAGGCTGTGTTCCCATTGAGATCACAAAAAAGGAAATAGCATACAGATTTCAAAGGCAATTTTAAAAGGAGCTCTAAAATGTTTGAACAATGAAATATATGCTTAGCCTTCTAAATAATCAACCTTCTGAAGTGACTGTTTTAAAAACCAGACTCATTACCTGGAACGGAGAGCTTCTCCAAGGTAGAGCAAGAACACTGCCTTCTGCCTAGCTTTCCACAAGCACTCTCACATCTGTTGAATGGAAATGCAAACTTTAGACTAAAGGACTTCTTTCCTAGGAATCACTACAATACAGCGCCCTCTGGTGCATTATATCAGAGGTTTTTTTTGTTTGTTTTTTGTTTTAATTTCCTTTTCCTTTAGGTTTGAGTGTTAAAGTGTTCAGTTTAAAGGATTGTAAAGGTTCAAATGACAGAGAAGTAATAGCCGTGAGTAACTTAATTTTCTTTACTGAAGGTGATTATAATATATACTTAAAATTTTGGTGTGAGATATTAGGTTAAATGACTATAAAATCCATTTTTATTTAGAAAATGTTTTGAGTTTTCTAAAAGAAAGTAATTTAATGAAAGAACAAGATAAGTGGCCAATTTAAGAGGCCAAGGCTAGAGAGGGAAGATTATTACCTCCTTGTGGCAACACTTATCACACTTAGTGCATATTAACAACAATACATATAACTTTAAAATCTGCCTATCTCCCCAATATTTAGTAAAATACAAATGAGGCAAGCAAGGCTTATAAGGAAGGAAAAAAACAAAGAGAATCCTATTTTTGTGTCTCTTCAATATAACCTACAATAGAACCTTTTCCCCCATTCTCTCCCTTTACAATTTGCCCACAGAATTATCCTAACTTTTCCAGAAGCCTCTAACACATGCAGAAAAAAACATTTTAAAGAACAAGTTTGCTTACAGAACTAAAATATTTTTCAAAGGCTAACGCTTGAAATCCATCTAATATTGAACTCACTCATTTATCTAGAAACCTCTATTCTTGGGTAAGCAGTACTTTTCATGGACTTCCAAAGTAATGACGACATTTTCATTCGATGGAGCAACAAAAATGCTCAACTTCCTCATCTTGTTTTTGGCTATCCTAAAATCTTTGCTCTTCAATTTATCAAAAGTATACCAGATCAACCAGAGTCATTTAACTGAGCTGATCAATTTTACTCTGAGTTTTGTTCTAAGAGTCACTGTAGCGCTTAGCTAACTAGGTTTGAATACTGGGCCACCAAAGACCAATATTTAGAGCAGCAACTGCTCATTCAATGCGAAAGAGGCCACTACTCACTCTCCCTCCATGCTAGTGGGCTCACCTCCCTTCTCTAGCCCCTCTCTGTTTTGCTCCATTATCCTCTAGTGCAAACACCACTGGCATTCTATCACCTCACCATTCAGGTATATACACTTAAAGTAACACCAGGTGAGATTGGAGGTTCATCTCTGCAGTGTTTCCACCACTACTCTGATCTTCAATCAGACTGACCTCTCCATCTCATGCTGTTTCCTTTAAGGTTGTTTGTCCTGTGGTTCTAATCAGACTTTAAGCTCCCTATAATATGCTGCTTCTGCACTCTCCTGAAATCTCAAAGTATAAATTACATGATCTGCAATAGTAATAACTATCTTTAAGAAATGGGTTTTATTTTTGAACCAGAAATATCGGTCCCACAAGCATTTATTGAATGTGTTCTGAGACTTTCCAACACAAAGGTGAATGAAATGCCTGTTCTCAGACACACAGTAGCAAAGACCGTGGTACAATGGTGAGAGCGTATGCACAAGGACAGTCTCTAAATAAAGGGATATGAACTGTGCTACTTTTTAAAATCACCATTTAGAAATAACAATATATTTTAATTCCTTAACAGATGAGAATATTTAAAAATTTTTTCCTATAAAAATATTCAAAACTGGAAAATAATGAACGTATTTCAATTTTTTTAGTTTAATTGACTTCTTAGAAATTTAAGGTATTGGGGAGAGGACTTAGAGGAGAAAGTCTGAAAAAGAAAGTACTTATATAAAACTTGCTGAATGCCTACTATGTGCTAAACACTATGCTAGATGCTGGGGATACAACAGTGAGTAAAACCCAACCTTGATCCTGCAACGATGGAGCTTACAGCACAATGGTTGAAGCAGAGAATAATCATACAAGTGAAGAGCAAATTACAATAGTGATAAGCGCCACAAAGGGAAATCACAGAACACTGAGACTCATGGAGGCTTCCCTGAGGAAATGACATCTAAAGGAAAGAGGGAGCAAAGAGAGTAACTGAAGTAGAAAGAATATGCACAAATGCACTCTGACTAGAGGGTTCATGGCAGTCTTAAGGAACTGAAAGAGAATGGGAGCAGAAAGGCAAAGGGCACTTGGTAGGAGAAAACAAGGTCAGAGAAGCAGGGAGAAGCCAGACCTTGCAGGGTCTTGTGGGTCATTTTAAGGATATATGTTCACCTTAAAGGCAACAAATACACAGCCGTTCAAGTTTTAGCTGTGTTACTAATTAAATTCTAAGATCACTTCTGCAAAGGATCTGGCATAGTTTCAGATACACAGTAAATATATTCAGTAAATGCTGATTCCCTCCCAAGCACACTCTGAAAAATTTACCTTTTTATCTCAGTAGTGTATTTAATCAATTAGCAATCACAGTATCTTTAGAAAATGAATTAGCATTATTTAATTTTAATCTAATGCCCATTTTCTCCCAAGTAATATAATAAAGTAGAATTCAAAGTGCACTGAAAATTAGAAGTTATTTATTGAATCATAATATGATCTTATATAGTGCTAAAAATGGAGTACAATTAAGCCAGCCTCTGTATCTATATTTTGATTGTACTCTTAGTTTTTAATACTGAATATTTTGTAAAATATATCAATACCAAGATGAAACAAAAATGATTAATATAAAGTTGTAAATGACATAATTTAAGGGATCCAAAGCTCAATATTATAAATTTATTTAGCAAGCCAAAATATACCTTCAAGGAAGGCTGAGGAACTTATCTAGAAACCAACTGTTTCTATCAACTATCTAATACACAATACAGTGTCTGTGCGCTATATACGGTTTCTGTCTTTTCAAATTTCTCTTATTTTCTCAAATGTTTCTGCTGTAATCCATTAAGACAGTTTGAAAACAATAAAATATTTTACCTAAGACATTTCAGCAATGCATCTTAAAACTTACATTTGCAGAGACAGAAAGAAGCTAATCTTATAGATTAAAAAAAAAAAGTTAAGAATCTTCGGTAATCAATTACCAGAGAGGCATGACATCAGGGAACCATACTCTTCCCAGGTATTTGGAGACTTCAGCATGAATTTCATCTAGGCTATAATCATCATCAGGGATCAAAACTTCCTCCATGACAGACAGCTGGGTTAGCCTTCTCCCACATAGTCTTACAAACTCAATGAATGCACGGCAGCTAACTTCACATTCACTGAGGCCCAAGGCTGTTAAGTTTTTACAGTGTTCAGCAATACAAATAAGTTCATTATCAAGAGCCTGAAGACCGTTAGCACATACTACTAACTCTATTAGTCGTGGACAGTTAAGACCTATCCGTCCTAGAAGTGCTTTGCTTACGGAACGACCAAAATAAAGGTGAGTAACAGGGGTTTCTTCTTTGAAGAACGTCTCCAATTCCTCTTCATATAAAAAGAAGTACATAACAACACTGACTCCAGGGGAGTGTTTAATGAGCACATCCCAACTTTGTTTTTTAATAGAAAGAAATTTGATTTGTCCAGGATTTTCACTCACAACATCTATTCGAAGATGCTCAAGGTTAACATGGGTCTCACTTGAAAGGGCCAGGAGAAGTTCATCACTTAGCATGTAATAATTTAATGCCAGTTCTCTAAGACCTTGACAATGGTCAGCTACACAAAGGACTCCTGCAGGAAATGGGGAAAAATCCTTAAACACAAAGAATATGGATACTAATATAACATTTTGTGAATTTAAATTTGATATTATTCATTATTTGCTAAAACAGATGTAATGATTTCTGAGGAGATGGATGCCAAGATATATATAATTATACATGTAATAAAAAATATCCATAACTAAGACACTCCTAGGAGAAGCAATTTAAACTATACGTAGCTTATATATTAAGAGGTCTTTTGAAAAAAGATTAATGAATTATGCCTCATAAGCATGTAGTTTTCAATAGGAAATTGCATTATTACTACGACTATAATAAAAAACATCATGCAAGCTTAAAAAATATAACCTACCATCAGATGAAACATGAGGACAGCTACTCATTTTGAGGCGTCTTAGAGTATCACTATTATTGGCCACAAGAATCTTCAAAGAAGGATCATCCACTGGTGTGTCTTCAATTTTGATTGATGATAATGATTTTGAGTTGACAAAAACAACTGTAAGTGCTGACACAAAATGAGACTAGCATGGCAATAAGAAGAAAATTACCAAGACATTATTTAAACATCTACAGCTTCAATTAAGTAATTCATTAAAACTACTTATATCAACATGCTTACACTAACATAATAAAAGCAATCAACATATTACTATTTTTTACAGTGCCATTAGCCAGTAGAAGACATTTCTATAACAAAGTATAGTTTTATACTTTTACCATTAATAAATGGAATGGTGAGAAAGGAAGAAATTTCAAAGATTTCATAAACACATCTTCCAATTATTTTCAATCTTAAGGATTTGTTTTTCAATATTAAAAGGATATAATCATATTTATTTCCTAGAATAGAGGTAGGCAAGTTATGTTATGGTCCACCAGCCAAATCCAGTCCACAGCTTGTTACTGTATGACTCATGTGTTAAGCGTGGTTTTTACATTTTCAAATGGTTGAAAGAAAATTTTTAAGGAGTAATATTTTGGGATATGTGAAAATTATATGAAGCTCTTTCAGTGTCCATAATTAAAGTCTGACTGTAATACAGCCATGCTGCCTCATTTATGTAATGCTAACGTCTGCTTTCACACTACAGTGCTAGAGGTGAGCAGAACTATATCACCCACAAAACCTAAAATTGTGCTTTCAGGACGTATTCAACCCCTTAGCCTAAAAGAAATAGAAATCTTATCTGTTTTATTCACTCCTGTATTTCCAGCACCTGAAATAGTATCTGGCACACAGTAAAAGGTCAATATTTATTGTTGATGAATAAATGATGTCATATTCTTCCAAATTTTTTTCTAGCAAATTATCTAAACAAAGATACAGTTTGAAAACTTTCTCTGTTTTGAAGATTGACAAACTAAAGCTTATTTACAGTTTGACTTCAAAATGGATGGAATTTCACAAGTTTTCAGATCCAGTAGTTTTTGACACAGAAAGTCTGGAAACGATATCCATGCATGATCATTTTTCCTTTTTCAAAATCAACTTGGATTCTATCAAAGGCTCTATTGTCCCTATCAGAATGACCAAACTGGTTATACATCTTAATTCATTTATAACAAAACATTGGCTTATACTCATTGTAAACTGATTTACACAAATTTTTAAATGGTGGACAGCTAAACCTCTTTACTAAATTTTATGGTGCGAAAAATCATTAGAGGAATAGAAAGAGATCACTCATTTTCGTTAAGAAATATAAGGTTTATTTTCCTTTTAATCAACTCTCACCCAACTCTTTTAGTACTGAAGGACACATTTAAGCATTAGAGTACATATTTCATTACAGTAACAATATATTAGTTTAGTACTTCTTACACCTAGCAAAATGCTCTATCTTTACATTACTTTCCCTCAGTTTACAAATGAAAAAACTGAGGCTCACAGAGATCCACAACTTTGCCAGAAGCCACAGAGCTCATTTCGCTGTGGAGGCAGAGCTTGAAATGAAGCCTGCTCATCGCTGGTCCTCCACTCTGGTGACCGCACCAGCTAACCCAGAAGCTAGCCCTGGAAGCTGATGTGCAACATGAGAGACAGCCCAGAATCTAAGAATTTCAGGTTGATCTGATTCCCTAGCCCATAAACAAGGAAATAACTATTTAGAAGTAGTAAGTTTTCATCTGGTTACTTAAATTACTTGAATCCCCAAAAGACCCATTCTTTTCAGGCTAGCAGAAATGCCTGCTAGAAGAGAGCCATGACCCAGTTAACGAGAAAGGAGATGCTACTGTTCCTCTGTCCTCTTCCACAGGAAGGTTTCCATTAGCCAGTTTTACTGACAACCATAGTTTAGTGCTTATTACATATCAGGCACTATTCTAATTCTGGGTTTATAATGGTAAATAAGCAAAATAGAATCCCTGCCTTCAAGGAGTTGGTTTATGTTTTCTGAGGAGAAGAGAGTAAACATGTTAAATAAACAAGGTGATTTCAAGCCCTGATGAAGGATATAAAGAAAATAAAATACTGTAATACATTAGTGAGTAACTAGAGGAGGGGGTGTTGTTTTAGCAAAAGTGGTCAAGGAGGGCCTCCCTGAGGAAATGGCCTTCAAGTCGAAGACAGAATGAAGAGAAGACAGTCATCAGTTTCTGTGGCAAAGACTGCTGGTTGCTTCCTAGGAATCATCCGTCCTTTCTTTTTTGGTAATCTGGTTCCAATTTTTAGCTGGGCACATTGCCACCCAGCTAAAAGACTGTCCTGGCCTCCCAGAAATGTGGTGTGGCCACAGAGCTAGGCTGGCTGACAGACAGAAGCACCATGAGGTACTTATGGCTAGTCCTGTGGTCCTTACAGCTTGAAAAAGGAGAGGGCACACCCTTCTCCCCCCATTTCTTCCCTCCAGCTGTCTAGAACAGGGACGTGATGGCTGGAACTGAGAAAGCCATCTTGGACAATGAAAATGAAGAAAACACCTTGGAGAGAATGGAGCACCTAGAAGGGGCATGGGTTCCAAACAACTTCATACCAGTTATGGACTGTGGCACCTGTGGATTTCTTTACTGTAAGAGAAATAAACCTCAGTCATGTTTTCAAGCCACTGCTGTTTTAGAATTTCTACTGTAAGGATGCAATCATCATCCTAATCAGTATAGGACATTTAGTTAAACATTATATTGTTCCACCTCCAATGGAGAGACTATAGAATTACAGGAAAGACACCCACTATTGGCCCTACACACTCTACATTCAAAGTAACTAAGTAAACTGGCACTTGAAAATTCTAAGTATAACATCTAACTTTTATATTAATGACATCTACTGTGAAACCATTACTAAAATTACAGAATATATCTAAAGAATGAAACCATGCATCAGCTATTTCATCAAAAATAAGTGCTAGTCAACAGAAAATGGCTTTAAATAAATATCTGAATGCAAGTAGGGTTATGGTCTGTTTTTAGGAATAGAATTATTTTTGACTAGTTGGACAATATTTAAGAATTTTAGTAGACCTCACAAAAATGTCTAGCATCTTTACCTTTGACACATTCATAAAACTTGGCTTGGCCATTGAAATCAAGCCCAAAGTCTGTATAGAACAATTTACCAGCTGAGCAAGTATATCACAGGCAGCTTCTGCTGATTCAGTACTACTATCAACCTACAAAGACAACTTAAAATCTTAATTTCCTGAATATAACTTATCAGAAAGTTATTGGCAATATAATTATTTAATAGAATTCAATTGCAAAACCGTACTTATCCCTTCAAGCTATAAAATAAATTAGAATTTTTTCTCTAATACACGCTATCTCAGATAAAAAATGAAAAATAGAAATGATGACAAATGAAACTTCTAAGCACTTTAAACTTTCAAATCTTATTTACACTTTCAAATACAATTACCTGAATTTTAATAATGGCATCTACATGAAGGAAACTGAAGTTTAAATTATTCAGTTATAGCTCAAGTGCTACACCTAAATCTATGCAAGTAACAACAGAGAAATAGGAAATAGTTTGGGATTAAAATTCTGCAAAATTCATTGACTGCTTCAATATAATGATCTAGTTATACACAAATGTCAAGAAAACCCAAGTCATTGTTTTTATTTAATGCTTATTTTTCTTACCTTAAAGCTGACATACTGGAGATGGGCAGCATGCTTTTTAATGATCTGCTGAATGAGATCAGGATGAGTGGAGTTAAAATATGAGGTAGCCGACTTGTTCAGTTCAAACTCAAACTTTCTCCAAAGGTCAGGAGTATGAAAAACTTCATTCCATCTCCTACATACAGAAGATGCCCGGGCCCGATCCATTCAAGGAAGATACTGAAAAATGCGTAACACTACATAGTGAGGCAAACTCCCCCAGTCTAGAAGGACGGTGTATGTATGAGTCTGGTTGAGAGAAGAGTAGAACCCAAGTTTAGGCTGTTTCACTGCTGGTGAAGACTGGACAACTTTATTCACAACAGATAAATTGTTCCTCTTCATTCTGTAAACATTAAACCATGTTAAGTGACCATTTCCCCCACATTTCCATCATATATTTTTCTTTAATTGTATGGAATAACAACATTAGAAAATGAGAAACAGTTTAAGACAATTTTGACAAGAATCTTCCACTTTCACGCGTTGATAGGTACCACTATGTGCTAGGGATACAGAGATAAATAGGAGGGGACCTGCTCTCAAAGAGCTATGGTGAAACGGCAAAATATGGTGATACATGCCATCACTGAAGTTGGGACAAGCTGCAATGGAAGATTAAGGGAAGGGCATGTATTTGAGTTTGTATGTGGGAGGGAGTGGTTGGGTAGGCTTCCAGGAGGAAAGGTCCAAGGAAGCAGTGTAAGTGCCAGGTTTATTCCTCGTCAATGACTGTATTCTCACTATCACACTGCAATTGTGCTAAGAACTCCCAGGGGGCCTGGGAGCCGGTAAAACATAATTAAAAGCATAAATCTGGGTTAAGTCCCAGCTCTGCCATTTACTAACCATGGGATCTTGTCTGAGCAAATTAACAAGCCTCAGTTTCCTCATCTGAAAAGCAGGGAGAACTGCAGTACCAATCTCATAAGGTTATTGAGAGGATTAAAGTATCTTAAGTGCCAGGACACAATAAGTGCTCAATATATGCGGCAGTCATTGTTGTTACATTAAATTGTCCAGTGAATCTTCCTGAATAAATTTCATGACATTACTTAAGTTGGAGCACAATTCTAACAAAAAGTTAAATGACCTGTGACAATGTTCAGATGACACCCAGGACACATGAGCTGTAGAGAAGTGGGATATAGCAGGGACAGAAGCTGTGTGACCAGCATACTGGGTCATTACCAGCCAATGTAAAATAGCAAAGGAATGAGCATTCTTTCCCAACAAAAAGAAATGATGACTCTCCAGGTATCAGTCAGCTTGAGACACAACTAAGTTCCAACAAATTTCAGGTCTAGATATACCCAAGTACATAATCCTGTACATAGATTTTACATAAGAATCTAAAGTATTTTAAGTATACAATAATTTAAAAGGTAAAATAATGATAAGAGTAGTTCTGAACTTATGTTGACTATTTAACCCTCTCTTTACCCCTGAATGTTAGGAATATATATGTGGAAGACTTGGTGTCAAAATTGAAACCTACCTTCAAATCTATGAAATATCTATTTAATATGTAAATATCTCTGTCTGTGAGTCACTCTGTCTGATGTGAAACATTTCTTAACCACAACATAGAGTTGGATCCCAGAAACAGGAATGACCCATAAAGTCACTGAACAAAATGAAAGGTCATCTTTAGGGTTTGGAGAAAAAAAGGAAAAAACATGTATCTCAATCACCAGGCAAAAGAACTACTACACACTTTAATCTGACTAAACCAGTTATGTGCATAACTGAGCAATACAATGTAGAATATATGAAACTGCTGACATCAATAATTCAAAGCACATACTATTTTAAAGGGCTAATTCCCTAAAATGAAATACGATGGCCCAGGGAAGGTAAAGGAATAGACACTAGATTCTCAACTCTGATGTGGAGCACATTTATTGACATTTGGCTTGTAACTATTTGGTAGCCTACAGAATGGAGAGTTAAAATTTTACTAAGGAATTACAAAAAAGTTATCCCTAACATAATCTGTCATTAAAAAAGCAGTGAAGCCAAAAATAAAACAAAGACTTCATCCAAATGTCCAGTTAGAAAACTGCCTTGCAGTTCTAAATAAAGGGATTGTGCTATACATTAAATCTGCATTAACATGGATTAAACATTAAACCTGTTTATTTATTAAAATCATTAAATTGCCAATTCACTGACAGAATCACCATAAATAACTTAAGGATATTAGGTACCAATAATTCTATTAAAAATAACATCTTAGTTTTCTTTTTCCTCATGTACATTTTCAGAATATAAAACCCATCCACAAATCACAAATTTATATATAATAATTTTATAGCAATGAGCATCAGGAAAATATCAGAACTCAAGACAAGTGGATCTTTATTAACTTGAAATTCTAGCCTAAGCATATACAATCACTTTTCAAAACTGATATTTCTTTTTCAAACTACCAACTGTCTTACCTAAAGAAGGCTTCCAAGTTAGAGTCCCCTCTGAACAAGCGAAATGAAGTAACTGCTGCCATGGGGTGCTCACCAACATCCATTTGATTTCCCTTCCTAGCTTGGCAAAACACCACAAAAACACATTTATCAGAATATGTAAGTAAAAACCCAATAATTTTTATGCTTAGGATATTTATATATCATTGTATATGCTGAAAGTTTTTGTCAGGAAATTACTGATTCCCAAACTATTTTCTACTCAGAAGAAAACCTGTCCATTAAAAACAAAAGAAAAACACATTAGCCTGATAAATGGAAATACTGCAACACTTGCCAGGAATTACATGTGAAGTTCTGCTCAAATAAAAGGCTGTGTGTGGATCAAACAGTCAAAGGAGGGCTCTGAAAATTCACATTTTAACAAACACATATGGAGAGGTATTACAAAACATTTAAGGTAGCCCATGATTACATTTATTTGTTCATAGGCTGTGTAAATCTTTCAGTTCCAGTTTTTAGCAGTACATAACGCCACTACAGTTAAAATAATTAAGCAGACAGAACTTTTACTTTTTATCATTCCCATATGAATGTAGTTTGTTTGACTAGTCTGCTGTTAACATAAGCTTCTGTGGTTTTTATTTTTTCACTTGTATTGAGACATATAATTGATTCGTTCATAATCGATTGATTCATACTCTCTTTGAGATTTGATCAATTTTAGGCACAGTGACTTATCAGAATTAGGAGCAGTCTATGGACATGGAAGAAAATAATAACAGGTCTACACCAGGATAAAACTCACTGCCTGGACATCATGAATAAGTATCATAAGTAAAAATAAATAAATGCATTGTGCTAATTTTTGTAAGCCTAACTCAGTTACACACAGGAGGTGGAGGAGGCAACCTATCAATCCACTAAAAACTTCTCTTAAATCTCTAATGCCTACCACCTGCCAGCTCTCAACTCCTCTCTGCAGCCTACTCCTAAAATAGAACTTTGGAGGACAGGGATAATGAATTAGAGGTCAATATCCACAATTTGATTTCCCCACTGCCATGTGTTGTTCTACTATCACCCAAAACACTATTTTCCAGATAATGGCAAGGTCATCTCTCTCTCCTTTACATTCCACTCCAGAAGTAGGCAGAAAGGAGCCACCAGGTACACTTTCAGAGGAACACCACAAATAAGAGAAAGAAAAGTCAAGTGACATATTTCCCTAATCAGACGACACACAATTTTATTTACTGCAGAAAATTTTCTACTGAGTTATCAATACGGCTAATTCTGTGTGTGCAGCCCATTCTTTATGCTAGAGAACACTGAAGATATCTGGTAAAGGCATATAAATAGGGAATCACTACCTAAGACCCAAAAGGTGGTACTAAAGTACCTAACTCAGATCAGTTCACTGGAGTCTTTAAGATCAGATGAATTACTTCCCTGGTGGCTGAAGGAATTTGATTGCTGTTTTAGAGTCACTATCTGAAATTGTGAGGGCTGGTGGAAGACAAAACCAGCATTCAGAATCCCATTGGGTGGTAAGCCACAATTTGGAAAAGGGAGAGATGAGCAAGCCTGACATTGATCACAATTCTAGAGTATAAAGCAGGTTTGTAAGCACTTGGGAAGAATGCAATGATGACTCAAAGTCCACTTGGTGGCTTCACTATCCACCGTAACCCAATTTCCTTTTTTTGATATGTTTATTAATTTGGTAGATAAGAGGACCCTGTGAATCGGAGCCTCTAAAAGTATCTAAAAAATCTCCCACAGTAATTTTTTTTTTTTTTTTTTTTTTTTTTTTTTTTCAGCACTTGGGCCTCTCACCGCCATGGCCTCTCCTGCTGCGGAGCAACAGGCTCCGGACGCGCAGGCCCAGCGGCCATGGCCCACGGGCACAGCCGCTCCGCGGCATGTGGGATCTTCCCGGACCGGGGCACGAACCCACGACCCCTGCATCGACAGGCGGACTCCCAACCACTGCGCCACCAGGGAAGCCCTCCCACAGTATTCTTGAGGGAAAAGATAATCAAAGACAGGTTAGACGAAAAACTAAACATCCAAAGCCATGTCTTCTGCACCATCACCAGATTCTTCCAGATTGGTGAAATGAATAAACAAAAGGCACTCTTAAAAGTTTCAAGTTTTTAATAGTCGCAACAGTAGAAATATTGTGCAAATACTACAGATAAAGAATAAAAATTCAAAACTATCTAAAAGCTTAGACAAATTTGTTGGAAGCAGCAAGATGAAGATGAACAGAAATAATGAGCAAATGTTCTTTATTTAAGCTACTTTTCTAAGGTGGTACACTGAGAAATCAGGTTGCTGCCATCACAGGCACACGGCCTCTGCTAAAGGGTCACCAGGGCAATGACCAGGGAGGTGTGGCCTGGCAGGAGAGCAGAAGATTTATTCCAAAATATAGCTTTGAAACACACAGCATTCTAATAGAAGCAAATTGTGCTGAGGGGCAAAATCCTCCCACTAAACACATCCCAAACACAGGACAAAACAATTTTTTAGGGATGTTTTCAAAAATATTTATGTTCTTTGCAGCCCACATGACCCCTAAGTTCCCTTCTAAATCTAAAACCTACAATTTCTTAAAATATGAAAGTCAAATTACAATATCATCAAGGTTTCAACAGATGAAAAATTAGTATTTATGTCAAACAAATCTTTCCTAAAGCAGTAACTGCCAACTTTTTGGTGTTATGTTTTTTCATTGATTTAGCAATCTTCTATACACTCTCAATAGTCTCTGTTGTATTAAGATATATTTATTTCTCAGGAAAACTTTTAATTTTAAGATAGGTATGTTTGCTTTTAAATGACTCATATGAAAACTGAAGTTTTCAAAATACATGTGGATTCAAAACACCTTCTGAGATGCACGGAGAGGGTTAA